TAGTGTGACAGAACACCTGCTAATGCAGTGGAAAACTGCTCAACATGGAAGTCGAATGGAAAAAATGAAGTTTTGTCCCCCCCATCAACTCTTTGTCTTCATTTTGCCAGTATTTTTGTGACAGCAATTTTTTTGTTGAATGAGAACAGATTTGCTGTCACAGTATATGCTGTCCATTGTATTTCAGTGTTCATATTAAACTGTAGTTCAAACAGAAGAAGAAGAAAGTTATTTGTTCTTTATTTTGCTTTGATCTGCAGGATAGCCTAGCCTTGCTGCCATTGCTTTCTCATAGAAAAGCCAGTCTGTTTGGGTATGAATCCCATTCATATTCCAGCGTAAATCTTGAAATTCTAATCTTTAAATCTAGATCAAGTAACTGAATGAGAAATAATTTAAATGAATTGAAACTATAAAAGATTGTCATCCCATAGGGTACTGCATGGTCCAGGTGTGTGCAAAGGAGTGAGAAGTCAGAACACCTTAAGTGCCCTCTAGAACTGGCCATTATCTCAATGTCACCCATCAAGTCCTTTAACCTCTTTTATTTCTTGCGTTGTTCCTAATTCATATAGAAATGATCTAAATCATAAAATTATTCCATGGCTTAATTAGAAGTGTGAAAAGAGTAGTTCCTCTGGGGTAAATGATAATGTGGTCAAAGCTTTCAGAAATAGGTTGTTGCTGCACATGTATTTTGGCAGCTAAAGGTGGTTTCATTTTGCAGAAGTTTCTCATTTACCCATTTCCACCACTGTCCTACTTCCTCAAAACCATGATACTTTTTTATTTGTTTGCTATAATCTCCAAGCAGGACAAGGAAAGTTCCTGAAGGATCTTGAAGCCCTTCTTCAGAGAGGCAAAGAGTGGGTTCTGGGTGTGTTGGAAAGGTTGCAATTACTTCTTTTTCATCTGAAAGGAATGGAACATCCCAACCATTGCAGACACCTTTAAAATTGTAACTTTTAATCAATTAACCTCTTTCCTCTATTTAAAAAAATCATAAATCTATATGAGAGTGTGAAAATTCTTTTTGGTCCATATTTTTAGGGAAAATAAAACTCCCCCAAAAATTTTCACAGAGAAACACCTTCCTTGGTATTTCACAGAATCAAAAACTCCTCATTTGCTTGTGTCCTTCACAGAAATCCTGTTTTTCCATGCATGACATTTTGGATAAAACCTCATGATTCAAAATGCAAGATTGACCAGGAAGGTTTATGAGTCTCTTTTAGGCTCAGCATGATGACAATGGAAATACAAGCATATAGGTCAGTTCTTGGGAACATCACATAATTATAAACACCATGTGGTACTTGCTAGGAGAAGTGGGGTTTTAATCCAGAGCCCTCTCTGAGCTGCAGACCTGTAGCATTCTGGTTGCCTAATGTCTCCTGTATTATTTTTTTTTCCTTTTTATTGTGTAACACTGTGTGATGATGCTTAATGGAAGCCATGCCCTTGAAACAAAAAGTCCTGTCACATTGATCGTGTAAAATGCAATATTTTCAGAACCCAAACTTCTTTACAGAATTTTGTACACAACTAATTTTTAGCCCTCAATAAAGAATTGTAATAAATTCTTGGAGATAAACAGATTCCTTCATTAATCATGATTTTAAAGGCCATAATAATTCTTTTTAAGGAAAAAAATTTCTTCTTTAGCAAACCTGCCATGCTGGTAGTTCTGGGGAACTTTTTTGCGGAGGTGGGGAATTTGCTGTAGGATACGTTGCAGTTAGCATGAAAACAAGCAGCCTTTTCTTTCTGACTTTCTATCTGTTATTTATCTATTAATGTGTGAGCCAAAAGGGGTTTAGTGGAGGCTGGACTGAGCCATTAAGGGTGGATGAATTCAGCTGCAAGTCTGAAATGATGGTAATTGCTTGCCCATCTATTTGGTATTATTTTTGACTCTTCCCTGACTCCAGCAGACTCCAGGAGTCTCTTTGCTGCCTTTCCCCGCTGATGCTCCCTCCTACCATTTCTTTCTTCTTGCCTTATGCATCTGAATCTCTATTTAACACTTTGATCCCTATCTGCATCTCTTCCCTCCCTTCTCTTTCCTTCCAGCACTTCACTTAACTTTATTTTGTGCACTGACTTGTTGCTTTGCCCCGCTCCCTTGCTCTGTGAACACAGGAGCATTTACAGTGCTCAGGATAGTGCAGACTAAGTCACATCTGCCTCCTCAAATCACCCTCTGCCTTCCCGGTAGATCCACCCCAGCTCTCTCCCTGCATTGCCCAGGGGCTCTTCCCAGCACCAGCAATTTTATGGCATGGCCTCATACAAAAATCAATGTAAAATAGTGTCCTGTCAGTGCCCAGGGTTGACATGTGAGCAAACATTTTAGCTGAGCTTCAGCTTATTTCATGCTTTAATGAGAAAGGTTGTTAAGGAGATATGGCATTGGGTTTAAGAGTATCTCAGAGCTTCCCAAAAAAATTTCATTTAAATTCACAGGGGCTTTTTCCAGCCGGTGAAACCCATGTCTATCCTGGTAAGCAAAGAAAGAAATCCAGCAAAATGATGAAGCCAGCTAAAATAGAGTAATTTCCCAAAGCTAGCTTTCTTGCACAGAGGGATATAAAGGGACTTCCATCATTTTGTTGTCTGAAAACAGCAATGAAATCCAGATTGAGATGGGAGCTCCCTGTGTTTTTATAATATCATAAACACTGGGAGAGCTGTGTGATCAGTAAAGGACTGGTATGTGTATGCTGCTTCTCACAGCATTTAACTGAAGGCAAAAAGCTTGTTCAGGTGGAGTGAAGTGCAGTGTTGAAAGCTTAAGCAGATGGGACTTAAGGGGTTCATGAAATAGAACTAGGAGCAGCCCTGTGAGTTCCAGAATGCTTTGGTCTGTAACCAAACCTGGTAAGCACCGAGAGGTCTTAGGGTTTTCCAGCAAAAGGATTTTATTGCAGTTCTGGTCTGGCTGTCCCAGGGATGAAGGTCAGGATGAAAATTTCATTTGGTAAATAAAGTTACTCGGACTGTTGATAAGAGGAAACCAAAGAACAGGTCGTTAAAAACACTTTGGATGGTTTATTTGTGCAAGCCCTTTGGATCACTTGGGTGGATCCTAGACTGGAGCCCCTGATGCTCTGATGTGCTGTGGTAGATTATACTCAAAGCAGGAAACAGTGAATCATTCTAGTACTCAGTGGCATAAATGTGGTCATAGTCTGTCCTTTTTAGTAAAAATGATGCAAAACGTTCTTGGTTCAGAGGTTCACTGCCCTGTGTAGACAATCTGTCAAACATCTGCCATAACAGCGTGCAAAAGTCTTTCTTCATACATTCCTAAACTTCCTATCACTATTTCCCTATCACTGCTGGCTGCAAAAGCATTTCTGAATAAGCAAGCACTTTCTTTCCAAAGCATCAGTCTCTTCCTTTTGCTTATCCACTTATCCACAGGCTTAATGATTCATTTGGCTCTTTTGCAACTCAGGAACCTCTGGTGAGGTCACAGCCGCCTGGTTGTGTCATCGAAGTGCATGACAAAAAAGGAGGAGGCTGGCTAGGAAAGGAAATGCTTTTGTTTATCCACAAACATCTAGATAAGCAGAAGTTGTGGGTAATGAAAGCCGGAGAAACTTGGTGGTAGCAAAATGAGGCTGTGATCAAACATGAAACTTTTAAGAGCAGGTTAGAGTGTGGTTGGGTTTGCTCAGCATGCTCCTGAGAATTTATCAGAGAGAGCTATGTAGGAGAACAGAATAATCTGCTGATGAGGGGAATTATAAAAGAAAGAGCATTTTTATTTTGTAGAAACAAAGTATGGTTTGAGTTGGAAGGAATTTTAAAGATTCAGTACCATGCAATGGGCAATTCAATACAATACCACACCTTCCACTACACCATATTGCTCAACCTGACCCTTCATTTGTCATCAGGTTAGATAAGTCCTTGGACCTGATCTCTCTTGGACAAAGTGGGTGCTTCAGGAGGAGGTTTTGGTGAATAGGAGCAAAGATTTGCTGTTTCTTGTCAGGCCAATGCTCTCTCTTGCCCAGTACCTTGCTGCTAAACAAGTTCCAGAATATAAGAATGATCCTAATGTAGCACAGCAAAGTCCAGAGTAGCAGTGTCTGAGTGATGCTCAAATGCTCAAAAAACTCTTAAGAACCAAAAAATGTGTATCTAGCACTGACTGTAACATTTTCCTGGCCTCTTCTCAGTCAGGTCCAGATGCTTTGGAGGAAGCATTGAGAGTGCAAGAAACAATACACTGTTAGGAAATAACCTAATGAAGGAGAGGCATTGCCCACTCCTGGCAATTAACAACTGGCTGCTGTGGTGATGTTTCTTTATTTGTGTAATCCTCTCTGGGGTAACCATAGGGAGACTGCTATTAAGGCCAACGTTTGGATTTGTGATTTAATCTAATTCTTTGGCTTTAGTGGTTACACACATCAGTTTGTGTGGTGGAATAACTCTGCATACATAGAGGAATTCTGACTCTGCTTCCCCGCCTGAGTCAGGGTTGAGCCAACATGAGGAGATGCTCTGGGCTGCCAGGGAGGACCAGAGTGGGGGCCCTGACCTCTTGTGGTGACTGAGGAACCAGGAGCACTCGTGGCAGTGGTGTATCTCAATCCTAGGGGCTTTGTGCTTCTAGGTGAATTAAACCTCCAAAAATCTTGGAAAGGGGAAAAGTACATCATCTGCCTAGTCAGCAGCCAGGCTGTGGTCCATGCCCCTGTGTGCAGAAATGGTATTTTCTCATTTTCAATCTTTGCTTATATTTCTGGTGGACTATGCTTTTTTTATAAAATTGTTGTATTTGGTATACCTTTAATGTTTTGTCTGAGTGTAAATGTCTGCATATGTTTGTAAAGGCAAAGAAAGATGCTCGTCATGCCATTGCTGTGATTAACAAGAGCAGCTTTCAAAAAACACCAGAACTATATTTGATGGTTGTGTTTCAGTGAACAGCTTTCAAAGAAAAAGCACCACTTTAAACCATGGCTTTTCCTTTCTTCTTTCAGGGGTGCATTCTCCGAAGTTGTTTTGGCTGAAGAGAGAGCAAGTGGGAAACTCTTTGCAGTCAAGTGCATTCCCAAGAAGGCACTGAAGGGAAAGGAAAGCAGCATAGAGAATGAAATTGCAGTGCTCAGAAAGTGAGTATCAGACCTTCATTGCTGCCTCTTTGCTTCAATTAGACTCTTGCATTTAAGGAGCAGGAACAGTGATGGACAAATGTGACTGATAGTTTGTTCAGCCCGTCACAGGCAGACAAGATGACCCGAGTTTAAATGGTGCTGAAAACGTTTTGAGAAATGCTCTGGTTCTCTTTTGTGTTAATGCAACCAACTGACTGCAAAGTTGGAAAGAAGAGGAGTTAGGCTGCAGTAAAGTCTTTGATGCTTTAAGAAGTCCTTATCCACTAATAATATCAGCAGTTGTGTCAAGGGCTTTGAGGAGAGTAAGAGCAGGTTATAATTTTCAAATGCATAAAACATTCTGTATGCTGACTGCTCTGAAATTATGATATGCTATGGATTGTCATAGGAGATGGTGGTAACCTGTGCCATGGAGAGGTACCTCTGCCACTTCTGGAAGGAGATTTATCGGGGTTGTCCACAGTGTGAAGTTTTTCCTCACTGTGGCTGGAACATATGCATAACAAAAAGGCATTTCACAATTGCTATGAATTCCCTGTAGTCATTAGAGGCTTGATCCTTATCTCTTCCTCATCTTACAGATTCATCTCACCTGATTTGAGACATTTGGATCTGAACTCATCACCCTTGACTTTCTTTCTAGGAAATGGAGAGAGATTGGTCACTGTAGGATTAGTTCATGTAGTTTGTTTTAAACTTCTAAAAGTACCTTAACTTCTCATTGAGTTAAAGGTAGTACAATTATATAGAACTCTATGTTGGACTGGAACATTGATTCCTGCTGCACTGCTGTCCCGAGTGGGACTTCTTGCCTCAGCTTTTGGTCATGTCAAAGCTGATGGCCAATCATGTGGGCACTGTGTGACAGAACAGATCCTAAAATCTACCTGGATGAACTAAATGCTCAGACAGCCTAAGCCAAAGGAGCTGGTTCAAGGGCAGATTCAGCCACCTCAGTAGACAGAGGGGATCCTCTTAAGTGGAGGACATAAATGGGGCTCCAAAGAGCTACAAGCATTTGTAGCAGTTGCTTTTCCATTGCTGGGCCCACCTCAGGTCAGTACAATGTAAACCCAGTGACAATTGCAGCCTGTTGTCTTGCTGTGTAGAGTTATTGAGAACCTGTCATAAAACTCCATAACCAGATAATTATGACCAATAACCACAGCTTGAAAGTCTTTATGTGTATGGGTTTGTCCCCTGGTACTCATTTGTGGGGTGTAAGAGCAGCAATATCGACATGCAGTAAGAATTGCCTTGCATCAGCCTTGAACCTAGGCTGGTAAAGCAGAGAAATCATTTAGATTATTTCTTGCTTCTTTGTTGTGAAATGTTTCTGTTCCCTGCAAACAATTTCCTGAGAAACCAGGAGGCAGCACCCGGACTTTGCTATTCCAGCTGCAAGGGCAGGAGAGTGAGTAGGCGGAAAATTCCTTAATTTCATGCAATTAGATCTACTCCGTCTCTTGTCCTATGCACGTTAGGACCTTAAAAGAGATTTTTCCTTTTTTTTTTCCCCCCGGATTCTTCTACTTAGCTGTTGCTAATACAAACTTTGCATGTCATTGCCTTTATTCTGAAAATAGACATCCTTGCTTGCAGATGCAGAATTGAATTTGTATGTGCCACCAAGGAAACATTTAGAAAATAACAAACTAGATCTACATACAGTTGAGGAGATATCAACCTGTTTCTCTGTTCAATGAATTCTCTGCTTCAAAAGCTGTCAGTAAAAATAGATTTGAGGCAGGTTGAATGGATCCTGAGCATCTGTTGCTAAGCTCCAAAGGTATCTAAGTGTCCTTGCTTTTGTTTCTGAAAACTTAACACTGAGTGGGGAAGGCTAATTTGTCTGATGACTGGGTGGGATGCCAGAGCTCTGGGCTGCCCTGCATAGCTGTGAGGTGGCCACAGCCTTAATGTGCCATTAAGAAGAACCTCTTCTAAAGGGGATGTGCACAGAGCATGCCTGGCAGGAGGAATTGGTCCCTGTGCCCTGAGAGGAAGGTGTAGAGACGCAGGGGATGGATGCAAAGCAAACGTAAATGCACGCATGTGTTTCCCTTTCTGGTTTTGCATGATGTCTTTTGAGGGTGCTTAAACTCTGATGGGATAAAAGTCCCAAAGGACAGCCTGCCTAGCTAAAATGCAGGCAAACTCCTTGTGATCCGTCAGAGTGGGATCTCTTGTCTGACACTGGCCTTTCTCCCCCTTTGTTCAATCATTAGATTTTTGTCTTCCTCCTGATAAGCTCTGTGCTTTCTGGCAGATATCTGTCAAATGTTGTGAAAGGCAACTCTCATTGAGTTCCCCTGGTTGTGTGTCAAATGGGGGTCAGCTGGGGGATCTTGAATATACTCCCTGCAGCTTCTGCCAACTCTTGTGTGAGCTGCTAATGCCCCTGTGTGTGGCGAGCAGGTTTTTAGGGACAGTCAGTGATTGTGCTGGCGTGTCTAGGATCAGTACACACAAGTGCCACCTACACTTTGCATCCTTAGGCTGCGCTGGTGAAGGTTTGTCGCCCTGCCAGTCCTGCCAAATCATTCAGATCTGGCAGAATCAATATGGAAGAAAGTTTGAATTATGTTTTGTGTTGAGGTCATATTTTAAATAACATTTTTTAAATTCAGGATTAAAAGTCTGTGCATGGAGTACTATAGGCAGTAGACTCTGGTGATGAAAGCATGAATCCAGTGACCAAAAGCCTTGGGTCCCCTCTGTCTGCCGCTTTCCTTCTATCACAGGAGTTATTGTCTGTCTCAGTATTTCTTGTCTGTGAAACAGCCTTTATTCAAAAGACTTTTGAATAAACAGTTTTACCTGCATTTATTTTCCTGTCCTTTCTTGTGTCAGCAGACATTGAAGAGTGGGTGTGACAGGGGAGGTTTCTGAGCTGGGCTTTTAGTGTGAAAGAAGAACTTCTGTCAGTCCTTCTGTGTGTCTGAACTAAAAAGCTGTTGGAAGTATTAATCCTATACTCTGTGTAGGGGAAGGTCAGTGATCCCCATGTGAAGTACATGGAAGGTAGGAGATTTTATCTCTCTGTCTGTGGGCTCGGATGCTCTTGCTGCCAAAACAAAATGACACATTTTAGAAGCGATGTTCTGCTAACAGAGGAGAGAGCTGCCAGCCAACTGATCTGCATGTTTGTGTGAGTGCCAGAGTGAATCATGCATACTCCATAATTCTGTTTTTCCAGCCATGGCCAACAAATCTGTTCTTAAAAAAGAAAAAAGGCGGAAGAGCCGTTAAGTCAATATTTACGCCTAGCAACCTTAACAGGGTTCTTCCAATATGGACTCTTTTGTGTCCCGTGGAAATCCATGGCAACATTCCCCGAAGACTCGGATGGGTGGGGACGGAGTGGGAAGGAGCTCTCTGTCGAGTGCTGTGCTGGGAGAGATTGAGTCTGCAGTTAATCCAGGAGCCTGAGCCTGACAAAGCATTTAAGCATGTGTCTAGTTTTAGAGAATTATTGTTTCCAGTGAAATTGGTGAGGAGGCTGAACTCACCTTGCTGAGCTCAGGCCTAAAAGAAGGCTTCAGAGCAGGGTGAACGTCCCACTGGACAGCTGTGTTTGGTACCATATCTCAGGAGAAGAGTCTTCTTAATGTCTTCAGCTAAGACATTAAGACATGGAAAACATGCTGTGGTTTAGAATCTGAGGAAGAAAATGGGATCTCTAGGACAGGGCTATCACAGCTCCATTAACTACCTGGCTGTGGGGAACAACAGCACACAGACGCCTTTGTGCGGCACAGACTTTTTCTGACCTGACATGTGGGGAATTTCATAACCTGCCCTGAAAACAACCGTGTTCTGGTTTTGAGCAGAAAGAGAAATGTGATCCTTTCTATTGTTTGCTGTAGAATAGCGGAAATTTCTTCCACTTATGGTAATTGTGCAGGTGTGAACACGCTGAAAGAGGAATCATCTGCTAGACAGGTTCCTGAGGGAAGTACGTGGTGTGAAGAGTTGGGCTGTGGAGAAGCAGCAATCTGAGGTTCTAGTTAAATAGAAAAAAAGAAAAAATAATGCTTGTAAGAGTCAGAGAGAAACATGCCTGATTTGCTTGTTGATTTTGTTCTGTTTTTTTTTTTCTTACCTACACCATTATTTATAAGCAGAAACTCTCTCTGTTACCGTGGATAATACCTGCACAATCATACAGACTCAGTGCTGAGTCAGAGCAAAGCAAGGGAAGGAACAATAAACTGTGTGTAGCCCTGCACCCAGATGTATTGATTGCTTAATGGCAGTAATGTGCTCATGAAAGTGCCTTGTTAAGCAATACTATTTATCTAGTAAATCATACTCTGCTTTAGATAGTTTCTGCTGAACAGGGATTTTTAAAATAATTTCTAAACTACTTAAGTATCTCTTATGCTCTCCCCCTCCTCTTTACTCTCCTAGATCCTCCGGAAGAGGCACTGTTAAATTCCTTATTACAAATCAGATCCATGTCTTATTGGGGTCTGAAGCTACTTTTCCTGTGAAACAGCTTGAGGGAACTGTTCCTAGCAGGTCAGCTAAAATTCTGCTGGTGCTTTCCATTGTTGTTTCCTTGGAAAACAGGGGGATGGGGTGTTCATGCAATGATTCATGCCCTGGCTCTGCCTCACTCCTTGAATGCCTGCACCTACAGCCAGGAGCTGCTGCTGTAATAAGAAGGGAAAGAGGAGGGGAGGCATCCTCCTGTAAAATCTGGGAGCTCAGGGCTGTACCCATCACAGAGCTAAACAAAAAGCAGCAGTGAAAAGTTTTCCTAATGTGGGTGAAAGTGTGGAAGCTCCTGCTCTCTCATAAATCAAATGATGGTCAAAGGGGCCCCGTGCTCCATCCTGGAGGGCAGTGCAGTACCTGGTGTTAAAGAGGACACCCTCGATAACAAATGTGGAAGAATCACTCCTTCTCAAGATTTACATGAAGGCTAAAAGGATGATTAAATAAATCAAGCCTTTTTACTCCTTTTCAGCAGCCCATTGACAAGATCCCTG